GGTTAACGTTAACTTAACGTTAACATAAGATTAGTTTTTGAGTGATTTCCATTTTAAGATGCTGATCCCCCATCTTTGGTATTGATTTGCTGATTATATAAATACATTTCAAATCAAGCTTTTCTATTTTAGTACGATCGGCAACCAACAAATCTTTTAGTGTTTTAATTAAGAATTTTTCTAACTATCACCGGGGGCGGGGTGATGATCACCAGTGACTGAAATTATGACGATCGACCAGCATTAAAAAAATATAGTGCCGGTAAAAATTGATAATTCTGGCCAACGGTGGCTATAATTAATATATATATTTGTATGTCAACTTACAAACAGCAGTTTGTAAAGAATGCAATCATCTTTGTCTAATGGATTATCTAATATTATTAACTAGTTTTTTTTTAAATTGGAATCAAAAAACCAAGAATGAACATAGCTTATAGCCTGGTTAAATTATTAATACAATTTTCACAATCACGATTAAATTTAAATTTTGCTAAAAGTTTATAATAATTATTTGGTAAAATAAAATGTAATACTTTTCAGGTTATATAATCAAAAGAAATCTTATCCATATTTATATTTTTACTGATAATCAAATATAGTACAGAGTTGTATTTTTAATACTGTAGTCATTATCAAACTTTTTTATTATATTTTATTTTTATTAAATATCAGCAACACTTGTCAATCATTAATGTAACAATCACTGAATGTTTCACTTACTGGATTACTGGTAGCAGTTTGAAACTAAACTGACATGAGGTGATTGAACATTTCAAATTTGATTCAACTGTTCAAACTGTGGGTTCAACTTGTGGTTTCAAACCACAGTTCAAGCTAATTTTTAATAAAATGATTAACGAATTGAAATTTTTTTTTTTTTTTTTTTTTTTTTATAACATGTGATTATTCTTTATTCCTATTTTTTATATAACTTTCCGATGGATTCATTAACAGGCTGAAATTAATTTTGAAAAAAAAAAATTCAAAAACAAGTTATAATATTTTTATTAACGTTTTTTTCCTTTTTGTAAAAAAAAAATCACACGTTTTCTCGTGTAATTATGATAATTCATAACTCTATTTCAAGTTACGATGAAATTACTATCTTTTTTTTTTTAACTAATAAATGAGACTCACCGTTAAAGGCATTGTCATATATTTTCTACGCTTAATTGAAAATTTGTTTTCCGACATGACTCGAATTTAGAGCTTGTCTGTAAACATAATATTTAAATAGTAAAAAAATAATGTTAAAATTGTTACCATATATTGTTAATATGTATTTTCTAATATCATACAATAATCGTGTATCTGAAATAAAGTTTTCTTATTGTCGCTTTTTTTCTGGTACCCAATATTTTTCATTAAAAGAAATAAAACCCTATAAAAAAAATTTGGAAAAAACTTTGATAAATGATCATTTTTCTAGTTTTTATTCCGAAGACATCAGTGTTAATACAGTTCCGGTTAATCAAATTTTTTTCACTAACAAGTAAACATTAAACATAACAGGGAGCTTTAAACAGTTTTATTTAAAATGAACCAATATAATTGACAAGCCTTAAATTTGTATTTAAATGTTAAATATTATTATTAAAAAGTTATGATAATTATGTATCTTGTTATATATTTAAAACCCAAAAGATGAGAATAATTTATCATATTTATCTTGCAGGTGACTATATTCCATTATGACCTTTTATTGAGTCATAATCGAGAGCAGTTAAAGTTAAAGAATCCCAAATCTTGGCCCAGCTAATTGTGAGTCTAATGGCACTGTAATATCTGGTAGGGTTAGCCCTTGAGTTTTATGTACTGTTAAAACAAGCAAAAGCACTCAAATAGGAAATTGATGTCTTGAAGCTGGTTTTCCATTGTAATTAAATCTATAAGGTCTTCATTATGAATTTCCATTATAATGCCAATTCAACCATTGAAAATTCCATTTTCATATAGCAATATCAAAGTCATCAAGAGAGTATAAATCGAATTGCCATTTCAAATATTTATTAAAAATATTTTTTATTCTTATCTTTTCAATACTTTGATTTGAATGAAATGTAAATACTATTTTCTATGCTTGGTCTGGCCTGATGGTTAATCATATACCAATTACATCAAAAAAGAGAGGTATAGAAGCTTTGAAAATCTAGGTTGAATTGGATTAGATAGTTCGAATTGACCCGAAAAAGTCAACAACCCAATCTGATCTGATCTAACTCAATCTTATAAAATTTATTTAATCTCTATATGTTCTGGAACTTACAAATATAGTAATTTACCAATTATTTTTACAAATTATAGGAAACTGTAAATTCTGGAAACATATGGCGTTAAACGCAATAATTTACTAGTTATAATTCATAAAATTATTGGGAATTGTAAATTCTAGAAGCATATGATGTTGAATACAGCGAAAAAAAATTTTAGACAATCATTCACGACAATATCACGTTTCTGTATAAGTATGCATAAATTAAGAACATATATTGTACTTTTGACACAACTTACCATAAAGACAAACAATTTTATTAATAATTACTAATTATAACTTTATTAGTAAAAAAGTAGAATATATAAAAAAAATAATATATATAATGAAAGATAGAATATATAATGAAAAAAAAAAATAGAATATATATGAAAAAATATAATGTATAATTATAACATTAATAATCGTTCACGCCATATAAAAAACTAGTATTTTTATCAATTACTCCTTCATCATAATATTTCTGTACAATTTCAACATGCTCTTTGGTAAAATGATAACATCTATCAAAACGTGTGATAAATTTAATTGGTTTTCTACCTCTCCAACCTTCAAAAAATTTTTTTAGATTATTAACTGAAAACCTCCAATTTTCATTAAAGGCAAATTCATCAAAATTTCTTGGTGAATAATTTAATAAATAATTTAATACTTCATCACAAATAGTTTCACGTTCATGATCATCACCATCATCTTCTTCAAAATTTAAACAAATGTCTAATTTTCTTAATTTATTACAATTTAAGATAATTTCTTTCACACCACCTAAATTTTTCAAATAAGTATTAATAATTAAGCTTTCAATATTTGGGCAATTTTTAGCAATTACTTTGAATAATTTTATATTATATACAGCATCTCCCCCCCGAAAATTATTCCATGTATCAATTTCTTTAATATTTTGAGAATTTTCAATTAACCTACAAACTCCATGAGGTGGTAAATATTGTGCTTTGAGATATTGAAGTTTTGGAAAAGAAGCAATTAATAAATACTTTTTCCAGTCTTTTTCTGATAAATAACAATAATTTTCAAATTTAAGCTTTAATTGCTCTAAATTTATTAATGATGGCAAGAATTTTAATGAGAGCAAGACATTCTCTAAAGAAAATCGTTTTAATGTAACTGCTTTTTTTTCTATTGTTTCACTTAATTGTATACTTTTCCTTTCACCTTTTATGCTATTATGTAAGTAAAGTGATTGTAAATTTTTTTGATTATCAATAAATTTGATTAATCCTGGAATATATTTATCATAATTCCATAATTTCAAATTTTCAATATCTTGACAAATTTGCGCCATTCCTAATAATTTATCTGAAATCAAACTTTGATTACATGTAATACCAAGGGTACGAAGTTGAGAAAAGCAAGTTGATGCCCCAGGATATTGATATAAGGGTAATGATGTATTCCAACGAAAATTTGTAATATTCTTACAATTATTGATAAATAATTTATAATATTCTTGTTCTAATATTTTATATTTTTCCTGATATTCATTGGAACAAATTGATTCTTCAATTAATCCAAGTCCCATCTCATTGATAAGATTTGGTGAAATTTCGGAAGAAAAACTAATATAATTAAATAATGGTTTATTTAAAAAAGGAGTTGAAATTGAAATAACATTATTTTCAATTAATAACTGCTTTGAAGATGTTGGTAATAAATCAATTATTGTATTATAAAATTTAATAAATTGTAAAATTTCATAATTCCTTATATGATAAGCTTTTTTTAAACTTCGATGATTAAGAAGAAATTCATAAGGTTTTTCCCATAATATTTGTACTCCTATAATACACCAAAATCTATTCACCAAAATACATGAATATAAAGAATTTGGAACATATTTCAATTCAGTAAAAATAATCCTAAGACAATCTTCAACGAGTTGTGACATATTTCAAAAATATTAAAAATATTGAAATGTTGGAAAAAAGATACCATAAATCATAGTCTCTATTTATTATTGTAAGCCACAAATTTGAGTCGCACAATTTGAGCGCACAATTTGAGTTGCACACAATTTGAGTCGCACAATTTACACAATTCTAAGATTATCTATTATTCAATTAAAGCTTAACCCTTTTTAATCTTTTTATAAGGAGTCTACATTGATTGATCAAGTATATTTTTTTCACACTGTGTACTATAAATTATATTTTTTCGATGGCGCTGTCATATCATTTATTTTGATAATCTACTCTGAATTTGGCTAGTATTTGGCTTATAGCAAGTTTGCATGATTATATAACCATATGCATGTTTGCCTTATGAAATAAAAGTATACTGCAATTACATTGGCTCTTACCTACTTAATATTTCATAAATCAATATAATGTATATCGGTAAAAATAAAATCGAGCAAGTTTCATCGGGAAATCAAGTCAAGTAAACAACCAGGATAATTTTGGTAAAGCCGATCATAATTTTAAGGAGAGTTCTATTGGTCATACAATAGAGTTTCAGATATTCATTGTTTAGTAGTCTAAAAGAAGGTAAACACGTTCCTTCAAAATATTACTGCTTTTGGTGAAGTCTAAATAGTCTAATGGCTTATTTGACAGTTGGATGACATCGTTGAATATTTAATAAAAACTAAATTGTTCAAATAATGTAACCTTAACTATACATAGATTCATTTATTTTGTATCTAATAGCAGAATTCTTATAGCGTAAAATTTTTAATTATAGTTAACACAAATTAAGATTCGTTGCCTGATACTGTATATGAGGTTACATTGTATGTAAATGAAGATTAAAATAATTTATTTATATTTTTTTAAGGTAAAGGTCGTTCTATAACTTTCCTTTTGGTAATTTAACTACTTTATATGCTTCATTTCTTCATAGTATAAATATTAGTTGTTTTTAAATTTATCTTCATAATATTTCCTCCAAAAAGATACATTCTCAGGATAAATATTAAATTAAGCTTGCTGTTACTGCACTTTTACGTTTAATATCTCCAATATCTCCAAATGAATCCCAACTAGCACGATAAATAAGTTCAAATTTGTATATTGGAACATCTTCAGCACGAATATACACAGTTGAATCTTCTGATACTTTTTTACCAATATAATTAGTAATTACATTAAAAAACCCTTGTTTGATAATCTTTGAATCATAAATATATAATTGTGATTTCTCTACTAAGTAATATGGCATAACTTCATCATAAATATTAATTAATTGGAATAATAGCCTCATTCACTTAACGTATTTTATAAATATTCATAGTCTTCATCAGTTAACTCTTCATTATTTTTATTCTCTAATTCAGGTGTTTGTTCGATGCCCATTTAATCAAAGAATTCCAAATGATCACTTCTTCAATATAATTACGAAAATCATCTTGTTATCTTGTTTAAGTAAGTAAAAGAGCACATGTTTGTCAAGTGACGGAAAATAACTTGAATTAAAAAATCGATAAGGAATATATAATTTAATATAATGTTCTTGTAATTTTTTTAAAATTAGGTATAAAATTAAATATAGGACTCAAAACAAGAACAAAATTTTTTTTGAACCCAAAGTGTTTGTTATTCTATTATGTCACATTGTATATATTCGAATAATTCTTCGAGAAGCAAATGATCACATGCAATCAATAAATTAAAATCATTCAAACTAGATGTTCTGTACTTAAACATTACCAACTATGAGTTCATAATAAATCAATAATTTTCATATTTGGTCAAATTACAATAGATCGACAATACTGAAATTTTATTTATTTTTCGACGGAAATTACTTTGGATGATTTTATTAAGATGGAAAACTCTTAACCGTTCCAAGCTCTATATCATTAGGACCATTTTACAAATTAACATTAAAGAAATGTTTAAAACTTAGAGATAATATAGCTTCTGCTAGGATTAACCATATATATCTGTTGCATGATTAAAAATTCATTCTATATACTTATTATTTTATATTAGTAAAATTACATAGTAAAATTATACTTCGATAAGCGTTAATAAAAACTTTATATTTCCAAATTGAAGCTTAATTCTGGCCGGAATTTTGCGTAGTGAATTAATTCCAGTCAAAAATTATTGCCGGCTAGCATTAAGTTTTTACTGTAATGGATAAAGATTTTTAGACTGGTTCCAAGCTAGTGACATAATGTCGACTACCAATGAAGAATTCTGATGAAACAAGGTTATCATCTAAAATCTTGACGTTGGTAACTTTTATAAAATATAACCTTTAAATTCGTGTTACTTACTTTTCAATGAAAGGTATAAAAGTAAATTTTAGTATAATAAATAACGCAATATAGTATAGAATGTGATTAGTGTTCTTGAAATAAAGATTGTAATATTTGTGGAATATTTGTACTAGTTCGAATAGGTCTTTTAGTTAACTGAAAATTTAATGAAAAAAACTAGCAGAAATTACCAACGACACAGAGATTGAATTTGAGAAATGCTAACTATCTGATAATTGTTCAATAAATTAATAATAAATTATGGATCATTATAGTACAAAATTTTCAGGAATTATTTCTTACAATACATAATTTTTTGGGAATTTTTTTTTTTTCTAATGATTAATCTTGTTGCAATGCAACAGGCTACAACTAGTATTTACCTCTTACAATTTTTGCATTAAATAACTTCATACAATATGTCGTACATGCTTTGACCAAAATAGCTTTACTATATTATACAATTTCGGTTTCATATTTTAGTATTTCTACTGTTACAATGGAAAATAACATTTGCTAAGTGATAAATATAAGGTATTGATATTTGTAATAATAATTATCTTAACCTCTCATTATATACACATTAATATTTTTTAACTCCCAAACATAAAAATAATATATATAAATATTTACATCTGTTGTTAATCAGCGTTCAGTAAATGTTATTCCTCAATTTCAGTAATTTCATTAATTTGATTTTGATTCCTAGTTTTAAAATTCTGGATTCTTATTAAATGATGACTTTTAGGAAAGGAAGGTTGATATTTGATATTCATATTTATTTTTAATAAAGGTTGTTTAACTAAATAATATTCCATAATATCATCATAAATACCAATTGGAATAATTGCTTCATAAGGTCGAACATTATCATAAAAATCATCAGAAGTAATATTAGTAAATTTAATAAGGGGAATAAAAATACTTAATGTATTTTTTAAATATCCATAATCTTCTTTAGTTAAATTATTTTTATTCTCTAATTCAGGTGTTTTTTTGATACCCCATTTAATTAAAGAATTCCAAATAATCAATTCTTTATCATATAAATGAATTTTTTTAAGTAAATGAAAAAGAATGTACTTATCAAGTAATAGAAAATCACTTGAATTAAAGAGTATTAAAGGATTTCTACAAATGAAACTAATACAATAATCTTGTAATTTCTTAAAATTAGGTAAATTAAATATTATATTTAAAATAAGAACAAAATTTTGTTGAATCCATGATTCTTGTTTATCGATTAAGTAGTATTGTACATATTTGACTAATTCTTCAAGAAACAAGTCATCACATGCGATCAATAGATCAAAATTATTTTCACCTGATTGATTCTCAATATTAAATTTGCCCGTATAAAAATATCTTCAAATATATATATATATGTACAGTATATAAAAAAAATGTTAAAACAAAATTTTATAAAAAATTACTTATCAAATTAGAAAAAACATACTTTAAAATAATTTCAAAAACGGTAGGAGTAATGTTTGGTTTATTTATTGTCAATATATTATATTTTTGAATTATATCATTTGAAATTATATATTTAAAATGTTGAGAATGTGCTCTTAATATATTTGTATGAGCATAAAATTCTTTTGTATCCTCATTTTCTCCAACTTTAATAATAACATTATAATTGTCAGCATTTAGCAATGAAGAAATATCTTCAAAAAAATCTGAATGAAATTTCAAAATCATTCTTATTGAAAATAAAAATAAAAATATAAATAAGTTTTTAAAAAAAAAATATGAATGAAATAGAACAGGTAAAATAATAAAAATAATTATAATATTTTTTTTTTGCCACGATGATTAATAATGCAAGATGACGCTGGTATTTAATTCTTTAAACAAAAATTAAAAAATGATCTTCAATCATATGACTGACCAGAATAACGAAAATGTCAGCCAGATTACTAAGAAGGTAATAAATTCAGCCGACATTAACCAACAACCAAATCATCATATGATTCATTCTAATTTTGGTTAGAAATTTTCTTTCTAGAATACAAATTTGGGAAAATTCGGATTATCGGAATTTTGTTACCATGAGATTACCGAAATTACCAAATATGGGTTAACAATAAGTCCATAAAAGCATAAAAGCTTTACATTTGGTCAAGAATAAAGATCGACTGTTAAAATTCACGCTCAACCATTTTATTTAAGAAAAATATTAAATCTTTTTAAAAAATGAATATTGATTTTCATTCTACCTTTTTAGGAAACTTTTCTTCAATGTTAAATAATTCTGATGATTATGATATTATTATAAAAGTTGGAAAATATCAAAATATTAAAGAATTTAAAGCACATTCAAATATTTTACGTGCTCGTTCTCAATATTTTAAATATGCAATTTTGAAAGAATCTATTACAAAAGAGGATGGTATGATAATATTAAATAAACCAAATATCACTCCAAATACTTTTAAGATGATTTTAGAGTAAGTTATTATTATAATTTAATATTTATTAAATAAAGTCTTGGTTAACTTACAATTTCTCTTTTTTTTTTTTTAAAAAAAAAAAGATATATTTATATCGGTGAAATTAATTTGACAAATCAAGCAGGCAAAGATATTCTTGATCTTTTAATTACATCTGATGATTTACTCTTTGATGAATTATTTTATAGTGTTCAAAATTATTTAATTGAAAAAAAATCAACTTGGATTTTACAAAATTTACTTATTGTTCTTCTTACTATATCTAAACTTGAAAAATACAAAAAGTTACAAAATCATTGCATCAAATCCATTTTTGTGGGAACTAGACCATTTATTACTTCAAAGGATTTTCTATTATTAGATAAAGAAATGCTTTATTATATACTTAAAGAATATGAATTACGTGCTTTTAATATTGAAGAATCAGTTGTTTGGGAATCTTTGATTAAATGGGGTATTAACCAATTACCTGAATTAGAAAATATATCTAATCTAAATGATTGGACTGATAAAAATTATGAGGATTTAAAGAATATATTAAGTAAATTTATTCCCCTTATTAAATTTTTAGAAATTAATTCTAAAGACTTTTATCATAAAGTTCGACCTTACAAATTCATCATTCCAAATGATATTTATGAAGAAATTACGGAATATTACTTAGTTGAATGGCCTAAACTATATAGTTATATTCAAGGTCTTCGAGACAGAGAAAATCTAAATCTATATATACCCTACAAACCCAGGAAGCCAAGTCAGTGGCACAGCTGAGCCACGGATTTTTTGTTTTTGTTTATGTGTATTACCTGTATCACCTGTTTAATTTATGAGTCGATACTACTATTTGTGTAACTTATTTTATATATACGATAATAATAGTGAATTAGTGATCGTATTAAAATTTTTTTAACACTAAATAAAATAAAAACTTATTTTTGTCTTTGATAGTTTCATTCCTGTTTCAGAATTTAGTTTAAAAGGATAAGACTTTAACGTTTATTAAAATTTTTGTTTGAAAAATTAAACGCGTTGCAAATAAAACTCAAGATTCCAAATGTAAAGAAAGTAAGTTATTAAATCTGTGTACTGTAACAAGTAAAAATTACGTTAGATTAGCTAAAAGTAATTTTTCTCTACTGTACAAATTAAATTATTACCTTTCTTTAAGTGCATTTTCGATAATATCATTATCGTCCTTTCTTCTTTTAACATTTAACTTATTTTTTCCCAAAACATTTGTAGGTCTTTTCCCACGAATTTTATTTGGTATCCAAGAAGAATTTTCCTTGTTTTCTTGGGTTTTATTTGTTCTGTGTGATCTTGTAAATGAGTGTGGTGTAATTTTTAGTTTATTACGATCTAAAAAACTTTAACAAAAATTTTATTAATAATATATTTAGGTAATTACAAAAAATGAATAAAATTTTCTTACTTCTTTCATTTGAAACTCTGCTTGCTTTTTTATTTCAATTCCATTGTCTGTATTTGGTATATTTTGTATTCTTTGTATAATTATTTTTAAATCCTTCCAGTTCTTCACATAAAAGTTGATTAGGATTAGCGTTTGAATTTAATGAATTTTGACTTTGATCCGGAGTTTCTTCATGAAATTGATTAGCAGTATTTGAATTTAAGGTATATTGATCTTGCATCATGTTGTTATTTTGATAAAATGCTATCCTTTCAGAATCTAATGATAGATTCCATATTTCTAACCCTCCAAGAACACTAGCCGCTGCACGAATATGTTTACACAAAAGAGGACTGGTCTTGACAGTTACATCACATAAATATACCTCATATACTTTGGACGAATTTGATTGACTTTTAACAATACAATATCCATTCATTGGATCTATAATGTCAATCATATTATTTTCTGCAATTTCACATGCTTTAAGTTCACGAGATTTAATTTCATTAAATTTCTATCAAAAATAAAAAAATAATAAATAAAAATTAATATTAGAACAAATTATTTAAAACAATAAATACTTACTTTTTCATTAAAAATTTGCTGATTAATTTGAGTGTAAAATCGAATAGTAAAAAAATCAGAGCATTGATTTATTAAAATATTTATTAGCATGTCTATCCTTTTGTTTTTCTTTCCATGCAAAAATTTCCACTTTAATGTCTAGGAATTAAATAATTAATTTAGTAAATTATATAATTAAGAAGATAATATTACATTTATAATTACTATACTCACAGAAAAAAAATCTTTCTATTAAATTATTTGTCTCATTAACCATCCAACCTGTAGCAAATTTTGGTTTATAAATACTTGCCCAAAGTTGTTGTCATGACTGCCATTCTTTTTTATAGTAAGAAAGTAATTTTGTTAAGTTGTTAGTAGTTAAAATCCATTTAATAAAATCTTGTTCTAATTGATTAAATCCTTCAATAGTAATAACTAATTTAAGCTTTCTAACAAAAGCAATAACTGTTGGTCGTACATCTAAGGAAATTCTACGACACCATCTAAAAATTAAATTAAAAATTATTAATTAATTATTATTTTGTATTCAAAACAATTATAATATACAACCTTTCCCATGCTTACATGTAATGGAAAAAACAAAGAAACATAAGAACTTTTTGTTCTTTATAAAAGATGTTAATAGCTAGAATTTCAGTATCACTTTTATCAATTATAAAAACTTTTTGTGAAAAAGCTATACTGTAATATGAAGTACCTCAAAAAATTTTGTAATAGGTTCATGACTTTCCCAACTAGTAATCATAAAAGCTAATGGTATTCCATGACCTCCTTCATCTCCTATGATAATGCTATATAAAAGCCATCTATATTGATTAGTTGAACCAGTAGCATCTAAACAGCACATATCCCAATTTATTTTCTCACAAGAATTGCGCATTTCTTGTGTTTGAATATGGATTACAGTTTGCAGATTTATAATATCCTTTTTCTTTTGAATCTTTATAACAAAGGCATTGTTGCTGTTGCCAAAATAAAATGGAATTATTTGGTGATAAATTTTCTACATTAAATGGTGATTGCTTTGATTCCAAACAGGACAAGTTTTTTAGTAAAAGTTCAGTAGAAATTTTATCATTAGCATCCAAATAAGAATTACGCCTAAATTTTTGAATAATATTTTCTATACATTTTTCTGATAAATGTCATGCTGAATTCAAAAATCCTTTAGGTTTAGCAGGAGGTTTTAAAGCTTCAATGGATATTAATTCTGGATGCAACCAAAATCTCATAATTTCTTCAATACTGTGTCCCATTTCAACGAGTAAAGAACCCATTGAATAATCTGTGGATTAGTTTTTAGTGTAGAAGAATGTGTTTTGCATTCATCTAAATGCTGATTTTTAAAATAAACATGTACACTTCCAGGCTTCCTTGTTATAGTATTAAAATATTGCACTGCATATAATGCTCTTGGACATAATAACTTATTACTATCTTTTGTCTAAATTCCTTTTCTTGGCTGATTTCTTTTTCTATCTCTATCTTTTTCACATTGCATCAAAAATAATTCTTGTTGGGATAAAGCTTGAGCATTAATCTGTTCACTATTATTTTTACTTTTAGATTTTCCAGCACATATACATACCCACATAGCTCGATGAAAGATGGAATTACTTCTCAACTTAGCATTTGATTTAAGAAACCATGTTGAAGGGTCAGATTTTATAAAATATAAATTTTCTGTGTCTATACTACTACCAGGTTGGTCATAATTAAGTGAAAATGGAAGAATTTCTTGTTGTAAAAGACTCTCAACACATTTTATAGCACTGTTCCAGTTTGAATAAATTTCAACTTCTGATACATTAAAATTTTCAGAGTTCTCCTAAAAAGAGATTTTTTTAAAAATATACATATTAAACGAAAAAATTATATAGTAATATTCATACCAAATTCATTGATAAAATTCAAAATTTTTAAAAAATAACACTTTGAAATTTTTTGAAAAAATTTGTTAGAAAAAAATACTTTAAAATTTTTTAAAAAAAAAATTATTAAAAAAAAACGCGTCTTGAAGTGTTTCATACAAGTTACACAAATAGTAGTATCGACTCATAAATTAAACAGGTGATACAGGTAGGATTTGTAAGGGTTACCAATCCAAATAGCTGAGATCGAAAACAGCACGTTATTGCATAAATATTATACAATAAGTATATACACATGTGTATTATTAAATTTAAAAACAAAAAATTTTAAAAGCAAGAAATCAATATTTTTTATACTTTAAAGTATGAAAATTTAATTTTTTAATATTTTATAAGTGCGAGAAGCAAAAAAATTTTGCAATTAAAATTTTTCTAAGATAAATGTTACGCAAAAAAGAAAATGAGTGAATTTCTAATCTGACGTATCCAATCTGTTATAAAACGGTTGATGGATGATCATTCAGATTGGCGGAGAGTAATCCGTATAAAATTATATGATTATAGATTATCAAAGTTACATCTCTTTTCTTAACAATGTCACAAAAAGAAATGACAATGGGGCCGGTCAAACCACATTCTAAGTATTTACACTCATTGAAGCAATAAATAGAATAGATTCAAGTTTCAGTGCAAGTTTTAGCGAAAATATGGGACGAAATTGAGAAGGGTAATAAAATGATACATTTTATTTTCCATTATTTAATTTCTCGTATATTTTATATAAATAAAATAATGTTGCCAAAACTTTTTTTTTTGTTTAAATTGTTTATTACGTTTTATTTTCAACTTTGAATAAATTTTTTTTTAAATTATAATGAGATTTCTATAGGATGGATAGGATGGATCCATTAAAGATTGGTTAAATTTTCAGATTCGAATTACTATCTGGATTCAGCTGGATTCAGCTGAAGCGCCACGGCAGATGATGCTTGATGATGATGATCAGTGTTTAGAAATATGATAATAAGATTTATCAAATTAGTAATTTAATGCAACATCATAAATAAATTATAAAACGAAAATTGAAAATAAACTTTTTGTTTTATTATGGTTAGTTACATAAACGTTAAATCAATAAAAATAAATGAAAAAAAGAATGAAAGAATAAAAATGAAAAAAAAATTATAACAAATTGTTATCCAATTAAAAAGAATAATTCACAATATCTATTTTATACATATATAAGGTTCATAAAAATTTATCCATTATAGCTAACGAAATCTTTAACAAAAAATACGCAGTACGCACTTATGCCAATCCTTAGGATAAGTCATATAATAAAAAACCGGGTTCAATCCTAGAATATTAACCGTTCAAGAGATGCACTAATTATTGTAAATATTTCAATTTCTTCAATTACATTGCCTAAATAAAAATTATTAGTGCATAAATCTTGTTCTTGTCCAAACAATGCATCCCAACAAAAATTAAAACCGGTAATATCACCATCGTATATAGTCTTGGAAGAATTTAGGTTACGACTAATTTTCATATATCGAGTATCCTCATTATTCTCAAATGAAAAAATGAAATTACCATAATAGTTACCATAAAACATTGGAGAGTTTTCAGTTGAAGTGCATCTATTAGAACTATATCCGCCAAAAATTTTTTTAGATTGTTTAACTTTAATTAAAACTAAAGTTTTCTTGTTATCATTCCATTCATTTTTAAACGATTCATTATCTATCCCATCACGACTACCACGATAAATAAGATTAAACTTATATAGTAAATCCTTTTTAGTGCGTAAAGTTTCAGCATCCTTCTCATCAATCCAATTAACTATTATATTTGCAAGTTTTGGTTTGATAATCTTTGATTTGATTCGAGGCACAGTAATATTACTATACAATTTAGGTTGTTCGATGAAGTAATATGCTATAACTTCTTCATAAATATCATTTGGAATAACATATTTGTAAGGTCGAACTTTATGATAAAAATCCTCAGAAGTAATTTTTGTAAACTTAATAAAGGGAATAAAATCTTCTAACATATTCTTTAAACTTTCATAATTTTTGTTATTATATTCATGATTATTTTTAGACATCTGTTTGATACCCCATTCGATCAAAGAATCCCAAGCAACTATTTCTTGAATATGAAAGTTTTCAAGCTCGAATAGACGATAAAGTGAATCTTTATTTAATGAGAGAAAGTTTTTTGAAATAATAAAATTTCCAACATTTGCACAAATGATATCAAAACAAACCCATTGTAATTCCTTACAACTTACAAGATTATATATACTATTAAGAACTAAAACATAATTATTTTTAATCCAAGCTTCTCGTTTATTAATTAAATAATCTTGAAGGTGTTCAAATAATTCTTCAAAAAGCATTTCATCAGATGCGACTAAAAGTTCAAGAATGTCTTCACTTTTTTGTTCTGTCAGATCAAGTTCACCTGTGTATATATATCTAAAAAAAAAAAAAATAGAAATGTTAGAATTTTATGAATAAAAAAAATTTATTTAAGTCATAAATTTAATAAAATATATCTTTACTTTAGAATCATCTCAAGAACTGTCGGAGTTATATTTGGTTTATTAAAAATGATCATATTATTCTTTTTTGTAATCCAATTAGTTGAAAGTGCACTTTTAAAATAGGTAGAACGAGCGCCCAAAATAACTGAATGTGCACGAAATTCTTTTATATTTTGATTTTCACCAACTTGAATAATAACATTAAAATCATTAGAATCATTTAATATTTTGGAAAGGTCTTTTGAAAGATTAGAATGAAATATTAAAGCCATATTTTTTTTTAAAAAAAAAAAAAAAAAAAAATTTTTTTTTTTTGACAATTAATAAGTACCCGAAGGAAATTACCAAATGAAAGAACTATTTAGTTTAAATAATTTGAATTCTGGTGAAATTATACTAAATATAGCTAAGTTTAATTGTTTAACGTGATATCTTGCATTTGTATGACAAAATGACTATCACAATAATACACGTGACGTCGTGATAACGTCTATGATCAATATTCAAAATAACTAGTGATAATAATGCAATTTATCAATTCGTATTAATTCTTGGATTGTAAGATTCCATAATTATTGGAAATTACAAATGATGTAATAGCTAGAAAATTAAGGTGCTAACTATTTTATTAAGTTTGATCAATCATTATTTAGTCATTAGAAATATTAATAATGATCATTGTCTGAAGCAGGGCGGAGAACATTTTACGTTCAGCACAAGACTATTCGTCTGTCCAAACACGTGATCAATGATCTACGTAACAACCGTAACGTATCCATTTTTTTTTATTTTTACGAGGACGCAGTTTCAGTACTATCTACATGCAACTATATAACTATAATTACTTGAATGGTAAGGGGAAACTTCGAAAGCCATGGGGCTGCGATATTATACTAAAAATGAAACTGTACTAAGCCAATTGAAGGCAGAATCTTGTTCAATCTAAATGCTTAAACAATTCTATATTATTAATATTTTCGTGTAATATTGTGATTCTGTTCCCAACCTTTAAAAGTTTTTCCAAATCGTCTTCTTCGCCTTCACAAGGGAGAAAAATTGATCTGAAGAAAAGAATCTAAAGAATCTGGAAGTTAGGAGTTTTTTTCAAATTTTTTTTGTAGGGTTTATTAGGATGGGAAAATATGCGGTTTATATTTTTATATATTTCTTGATAATAAAGATTAATAAAATAATTTCATATAGAATTTAAAAATATTATCTTGTCATTATTTATGTATAATATCTGCTATAAAATAATTATAATTTTAAAAATTTTAAAAGACTCCAAATTATACCAAACAATACATTAATTAAGATATTGCAATTTTTCAGAATTCTTTCACGTTCTGCATTCGCTTGAAATTTAATAATTTATTTAACATATAAAAAAAATAAAATAAATACATATACAATTTAGATCATTAAAATATAAAACCCTGCTTAAAAAAGCATCTCAATTACTTAATAATAACATCCGGAAATGGTAACCTTGAAAATGTCAGATTGTACATTTTGAATAACTGATAATAATATAATATGTTTCATGTACTGTACATAGTAATTTTTGTTGTTTAAATACATTGAATTGATTTTAATATAATATTTATGTTGCAAAACTATTCAGTTTAAACTCGTGTGATATTACTACGTTTATAAATGCCCGCATCTGAAAAAATAAGATAATTTATGACGCAATAATTATAAAATTGGCAAATAAAATAAAAATTGAAATTACAAAAATTGAAATTTTCTTATCTTAAAAATTCATTGGTAATATTTTATGAATTATATACACTTTAAAGTAATTTCTTTATTAGACACTTTTCCCATTATTTCATTTTGTATTCACATTCTAATAGGCCATCCATCCATATTGCTGAATATAACTGAATGCAGTGGAATTATTTCTGCCTATTTCTTTAGTATCATTAAACTAGTTATATGGTATATATTCAACTATTATATTATCAAATCTATTATTTTTAATAGCATTACTTGAATTAATTTATTAATTTTTTTGTTTTCACTGGTCCAATTTTTAAAAATTATGTCTTAAATTATCTATTTGGCATGGATTGTACTATTTAGACCGGCTAATTATATATAAATTACCACGGTATTTACATACAAATCATATTTGGATGACACGATTTTGAATTAAAATTTAAAAAATTATTTAACAATTACGCAATTTTATGTGATAGTACAGATAAATTCAACTGACGCCAATAATCTGTAATTTTCGTAAGAGGTTGATAAATGAATATTAATTCATTGTTTATGTTGACTATATAGGATAAATTATACGTTAATATAGGACCCCGAAATATACATAAAAGGGTCAGGTCAGAGTTTGCGTATAATGAGCCAAAAAAATCATGTAGATCATTCCTTTTATGGATAATCCCAGTAAAAATAATATTTCCTAATTTAGATAATGGCTGAAATTATCGTAATTCCGGCCCTGAAAGAATGCGTATTTTGGACCACTTCTGGACCTGACCTCTACATATATATTTCGGGGTCCTGTTAATATGATGAGTTAGAATATAGATATACTATGAATCTTATTATATAATATAATTGAACAGTAATTTATACTATTTAAATTCACGAAAAAATATTCTTTGATGAATAGTGAATTTTAATCGAAATATAAACTATGCCATTATTTTGGCAAATTTGTTTAAGTTGATGGTCAATTTACCATTTGATAAAATTTAAATTATTCATAAATTCAAAGAAATTCATCGAATTAAGCTAACAACTAACGGTAACGAAATCAGTTTTACGAGAATAGCGAAATTAATTGACAATCATGCTCAGTAAAGTTGGCCAAAATCATTATAATGCAGGCTGACATTAATTTACTAACAATTATTAAGATCATAAAAGATGATGTAAAATTACTGAATATGTATGATATTCTTTTGTATATTTTTTGTCTTTAGACTTGAATAAGCATTATATTCAATTGCAATGTTAAAAATTAAGGAAATGAAAAAGAGTTATTAAGAGTAAAGTAAAGGTAGGAAAATACAAGTTAACAATGAATAAGTTGCTTAAATATACACCTTAGGTTCATTGTTAAATTAACTTTGAATTTAAATGACGTAATTAAACCAATCTTTTACTTCATTAAATTATATTATCGGCTAGATTAAACTCAAAAATGTTACTCCTCTAAAAATATCAATGAATTCATTATCTTTATTTTGTTATTTAAAATAATACATAGTAAATATTGAAGAAGTATAAAATTATTGTTTAGTTACAATGAATGTTTCGATTTCTTCAATCTCATAAATTAAATCTGTATTTAAATTATTTTCGTAACTTCTACTATAATTTTTAGCATATAAACATTGATTATGATACATAAACAACGAATCAAAACCAAAACCAAATCCAGTACCATGATAATCGTATATAGCCTTATCATAATTTCTCACACGACTTATTTTCATATTTTGAGTATCTTTATCGTTTTTAAATGAAAAAATAAAATTATCCGATGAATAATAATACTTTGAATTATTGAAACCATTAAGACTTGGAACATTATCTCCAATCGAATTAAACCCAATAGAACTATATCCACCAAATATTTGATTTGTATGTTTAACTTTAATTAAAACCAAACTTTCCATTTGACCTTTACATTTATTTTTAAATATTTCATGATTAATACCATCAATACTACCACGATAAATAAGATTAAATTTGTAACGTAAAATCCAGAAATCTTCTTTAACAATCCATTTGATAATTATTTTTGCGAGTTTTGGGTTGATAATTTTTGAATCAAATTTTCCTATTCTAGGTGGTAATGTGTTTACTTTTGGAAAGGTACCTTTATTATAAAATTCTTCAATTTCTTCATAAACTTGATTAGGAATAATACCCTTATATGGTTTGACTTTAATATTAAAATCATCGAAAGTTATATCTACAAATCGAATGAGAAGAATAAATTGATTTAATATTTCCTTTAATGCTTCATAATCTTCATTGTTCCATTTGCTTATATCGCACTTCTCACTTCCCGAAACAGGAGTTTGCTCAATACCCCATTTAATTAAGTGATGCAAAGTTACATAGCAATTCTTATTTCCTGAACCAGAAGTCTGTTCAATACCCCATTTAATTAAGCGTTCCCAAATGACAACTTCTTTAATTCGTAAGTCATCTCTTTCAAGTACTCTATAAATAATATCTTTATCTAGTGAAAGAAATTCGTTTGAAGTAATAAATGAGTGTGCATCTTCGCAAATAATTTCAATACAATAATCTTGTAATTTCTTGCAATCACTGATTTTAAACGCGATATGCAAAACAAGAAAAAAATTTTCCAGAATCCATTCAACTTGTTTTCCAATTAAATAATCTTGAACATAATTAAATAACTCTCCAATGAGTAATTCATCCGATGCGATTAGTAATTCAAGAATATCTTTACCAGATTTTCCAGTTAGATCAAGTTCACCAATGTAAATATATCTAATTATATTATTATTACATTTTTTTTTAATTAATAAATTATTTAATTTAATTTGATAAGAATAATTAAAAAAATGAAAAATTATTCATACCTTAAAATTAAGTCAAAAACATTTGGTGTAATGTTTGCTTTGTTAAACATGATCATATCATTTTTCTTTGTGATCCAATTAGATGAAAGTGCACTTTTGAAATAAGGAGAACGAGCACGTAAAATTACTGAATGAGCACGAAATTCTTTTGTATTTTCGTTTTCTCCAACGTTAATAATAACATCATAATCATCAGCATCATTTAAAATTAAGGAAAAATCTTTCGAAAGATTGGGATAAAAAAATGAAGTCATTTTAAGAAAAAAAAAAATGATAAGAGGTACAAATAAATAAATATGTAATAAATATTGACGATCAATGACTTCATGCATACGTGACCTGCATAAAATGTCACCCCGTGTCACACCCACCGTTTTCATTTTTTCAAAATTTTGTGGTGAAAAAAATTTTTTCATGCCCCCTTAAACATCACTGGTCACGTGGGATGAAATTTTACTTAGAAATCTTGGGGTGATACTGGGGTAAATGGACGCCATTTTTCTCGAATTTTTCATGTAGACGAGTAGAAGATATATAATAATTATTGTTTACTTTATGATTATCATAGATTATAATATAAAAGCATCATAAAAAAACAGACAACTACCATAAAAAGAATTTTTTTTTTAAAATAAAAAAAAAATACCGTATATTGCAGGCCACAGCCGGGAATCTTGCAAATTTTGGGCGTTTCCAGAGGTATATTACATACTGTAAGTGGGTACTATACATAGGAGGGTAGACAGGGTACAGAATTTTTAAAATACCCGGGTACTTATATTCGGGTATTGTGGATAATCACTATAATGTAATCTCTCGTTAAGAATATCTAAATGCATCCTATTTCACATATCTTGATACTTTTTAGGATATTTTGCACAAAATTACTTATCTAAATACTCCTATTAATACATAAAAATGTCTTGTTTGATTTACGTGTCTTCATTTTATGTGTCTTTTTTTTCTTTCTGCTAAAAGTAAAATGGTAGTTATTGGCAACAAGAGAAATAACACACAATTGTTTGCCACAAAAGAAATAAAGACAATGAAACGTAAGGGAAAAATTAGAAAACAATAATAGAAATGTACGTGGAACTGCCAAAAGATTTAATATTCAGCTCAAACAACTGCGTGATTAGAAAAATAAAAAAGGAACTTTGTTAATGACTACTCCTCATATGGCTAAACTCCATCTGGGTACACCTTCTAAATATCCAAATTAGAAGTGTATGGATAAGTGAAAAAGGAGCCAATGCATGGAAATGTTGTTACGTAACTCGAAAATTAAGCCATTTCCTTATCCAAAAGTCCAGAATTATTAGCAAATAATCTGGGTATTGCTGGGTTCAAATTATCTAGTAAGTGGTTTGATGAAGATATGACTAGAAGCAGGTTTGGTTAACGGTTCTATGGGCACTATCCGGGAAATAGTGTTCGAAGAAGGTCAGGGTCCTCCACCCTTCCCAATGTGGTCCTAATAGAATTTGATAATTATACTGGTCCCGCTATTGCATAAAAGGCTTATCCCGATTCCACCCATTAGACATACCTGGGTTGCAAAAAGTGGCACTTGTTCGCGCATGCAAATCCCTATTAGTTTTACTTGTGATATCACTGTACATAAGAGTCAGGGGCTAACACTATAATAGAACTTGGGAGAAAGGAATATGCCGCTGGTCTCCCATTTGTGGCAATTTTCAGGGTCCGTGCTCTTAATGATGTACTTTTTGACTTCAACGCATTAAAAACTGTAAGAGGTTGCAAGAGAGGTTGTCTGAAGAAAAGCGATTAATTTCAATGATTAAATCTTTAATAAAATAGTTTAATATGTAATTTTAAACTATTTGTGATAATAAATAAAATTTAGTTAAGAACTGTTTATCAATAAAAAACTTTAACAATTGAGTTTGACAATGAAGATAATATTTACAAATCGTTGCAAAATATAATAACACCAATAAGTTTCACTTCGGAAAAACATGCAGCGTGATGTTGTAACACCTGAGCCCATAGAGAATTATGTTTGCCACCTCAGGTATTAACAAAATGACTCTTTATTAATAATATAAATAAATACAATAATATGCTTGGTTTAATAACATTAAATAACAAAATAAATAATTCATAACAAAATTCGTCTAGTTTTCTCTCTCTGTCCTTTCCAAAAGGTGATCTTCACGCCCTTTTATGTTTGTTTTTGTGTAACTAAATTCATAATTTCGATTCATGGATTTAAATTATTAAAGTATTTCCATTGTTTTAAA